ATACTTAAAATAGTGAAATAACGCCCATCAAGCCAAACATCAACATGTTGATACTACCAATATTTGCTACAAACTCAATAACAAAATGCCATATATTGGTACAAATGTACTATATCACTAGCTTCCAAAAAAATATTTACTTTTGGATATGTGACTATGAACAGTTAGCTAACGCTGTATTGTGTAAGGGATCGTTCAGTACGTAAGCAGATTTATTACACTTAATTACCCCCCCCATCCCCCTTGTCAGCAAAAGTAAGCAAAGCACTTACCCCCCCCCCATGCTTACGTAAACATTTTGCAATTAATGTAAAAAAATAAAAGCACTACCTATGACGTAATCATCATTCAGACTCCCCTGGCCCCCATGTCAACCCAAAATAACAGATCAACAACCCCCCGCCCCCCTATATTCCTTACGTAATACTTGAACGGCCCCTAAGATGCTACGAATTAATTAAAACACCTAATATTATTTAATTAATTTTGGCTAATTTTATTAAATTCCCGAAGGAGAAGTTCGTTTAACTCAGTATATCTAAAAATCACTCAAATAAATATATCAATTTCTTATTGATTATTACATATGTCGAGAAGTACATGTAAATTGCCTTAGACATACTTGCTTTACAATTAGAAGCGTATGAAAATATTTGAATAAACGAACCATAGCAATACAGGGTATAAGTTTCAAGTCTTATATATTGAACAATGTTGCAAAAGCTTAGATTATTTAATTTTCGTAAAAGGCAATTCAAATAACAAACATTAAGAACATTTGTTATGCTATAAGGAGAATTTCATCTTCTACATGGCATACGTTTAATAAGCATATTATTAACATAATATGAATTAGACAGAAGATTTGAAGTAAATAACCAAAAGTAATTAATTTCAGAAGATAGAAATACAGGCGAATACGCTATAATGCCCAAATCCAAGAGTGGTTCAGATCCATTAAAAGACAACGCATATAACAAAAATAAAGCAAGTCAGGTAAACAATTTACTTTATAAATCTGTTAAATTGCCGTGAAATTAATTTAAATATATTAAATTATAAAAAAATATTATATTCAAAATTCGTCTCACTTTTGAGAGGCTTGCCAATTTCAAGTAAATCGGTCCAATAGAAGTAGAGAAATCGTGTGGTGAAAGAGCCCTAACTCAAAAATAAATTAAATTTTGGAAAATATAAAAACACGTTTTTTAATTCTAGACTAAAATACCCTCTTAATATAAATTATTCTATAGGTTGGACAACAAGGTTATGGGACACCCAAACCCGGCGAAGTAGATTCCGTAATAACAGTGCCAGAAGGAATCGATCCAGCTGATCGTTCTACAACCGGAAAACCTAAAACAACAACAAAAACTACAACTACTGAAGAAACAAAACCATCAACAGTAGCACCACCTATGAATACCGAACCTCAATTAAATGAATCCCATTTTTATTTGTCTCAAGCCAACTTTGATACAAATTCATACAAATTTTGCTGGATGTATGTCCTCTACGGGTTATTGTTCTTCATCTTATTGTTACTTATTCTGTGCTGCCTCTTACTGTTATGCAGGTATAATTATAAATAAAATATTGAGAAGGTATTAGGTATAGAACCGTAGCTTAAGAACCATAATACAGATACGAAAATAAATGCTTTGGGCAATTTTGATATGTGATCGATGCTCAATTTAATCAATACAATACAAAGCAATTTAATCATACTATCACCAAAATACTTAATTACAGATACTGCTTGGCATGTGTAAAAAAGAGAAGGTCGCCTAAATATTGCAAATTAGGCGAGGAAGAGTGCACCATACACTGCTTGGAAGATGGTTTGCTGGATCTAGACGAGAGACCTGAACAAATATGCGGCAAAGGTTGTGAAGCAAAAGCTAACAAAACTAAAATAATTCGAGCATTAAAATCATGCGAAAATGAGAAAGGTTCTAAACAATCGAAGTTCAGTACGCTCGTTCAAATATTCTATTCTCCTGCAAAATCACAAGATAAAAAGAAAATCGCCAAAACAAAGGAAGATGACGAGGATCGAAAGTCACAAGTAGGTTCTATACATACGTTATATATTTCGGCAAAATAAATAAAATCCAGCTTCATTTATTTTTAGATCATCCTTTGAATCCTTTGAAACCAAAATTGAAAACTGTATATGTAGACTCGCATCGAAAATTCCGAATTTCAAAACTGTTAGAGCATACAAAAAATATAAAATAGGAATTATTCATTATTTTTTTAGATTTATACGATAACAGAGTTTATTGTTTTAACGAACATCTTAAAATATTATGAGCCTAACGAAAAGTGATATAACTTTAAAAAGTTTTTACAAATAGGCGTTGCAAATAAAATGCAAAATGCTATCGTCACAATTTTAAAAGTTACTCATACTAAATTCTTATTGTTTAAATCGATTATAAATACATGTCAGAAAACGATATGCTAATATAAGGTTGTCAAATATCTCCCTTCGCCTTTTTGTATTATAAACCAAGAGCAAAAAAGCGGAAGGGAGATATTTGACAACCTAATATTTAACTTTCTATTGCTATTAATAAACGAAGATATCACAGAAAATAATCCGAATGTAGATTTACAGCGATCTAATGACAAATAATCATTTGTTAGAGCTTAAAAAGTTAAAATTATATTTCATTTAGTTTTTCGTCTATAATGAGGTTGATTGTACTGTTTGTTGCAACTTATTTTGAATTATTTTTCAATGTCATCACAAACATAAACACTTATTTCATTAAACAAATCTTCTTTTTCCATAAAATTTTACATCTAGAACGTAGATTTGCAGTTCGTTAAAACTGCATCTGAAGAAAGCCTTCGGAAGAGGGCAAATTTTAATAGTGGAAGCGGCTTCGAAGGAACAGATCGTAATGCAGGAGGTCGCGACAAAAGTGGCTGGAACGGAAATAATCAAAAAAGTTCTAGTGGTACCAATAGCAAGATTGAATCAAACACTTCACGGAGAAAATCAACGATCCCAAAACCACCAGAAATAGAAAGTGTATACGGGCCAAAGCATGTATCATCATCGTCTGCTAGTTTCGATGAACCAGAAAACTCGAAATCAGCTCAAATATCATTAGATCCTAAATATACTTTACAAAACGCACGTTCATCAGCCAATAGAACTATGCCGATAGATAATCGAAAGGGAAACGAGAAGTCGTGCAACAAAGACGTAAGAGTTTATATATCTATATATCTATATATATATATATATATATATATATATATATCTTGATAGTTTTTTCGACGTTGAAACATATTTCAAAGTAACTGGCAGCCCATTCGTCGAAATAAAAAGGTATAAAGTATAAAACTTTTATTTATACGTTTCGACACAAGATGCGTGTCATAATTAATTTTTATTGTTGTTTATATTAGTTAATAAATTTTCAAATTGTTGTAGTTGCTGAATGATGACACGCATCTTGTGTCGAAACGTATAAATAAAAGTTTTTATACTTTATACCTTTTTTATTTCGACGAATGGCTGCCAGTTACTTTGAAATATATATATATATATATATATATATATATATATATATATATATATATATATATACGCAATACTTCTCCCGAACGGCTGGACCGATTTTGTTTAAATTTTATAATCATTATCAGTATGACTGAGAATCGGCTAACATATATGTTTCATACTCCTAAGTATACAACCATTTTCTATTATTTTATTTTTATAATTCATAATTCAAAAACACATCAAATCCTACATTTCACCCTTCAATCACAAACCCCATATTTCGTAATAATCACTATAGCAATCAAATCAAAAATGATAATTCAGTTTTTGAGAGAATGAAGCGTTCGATTTGATGAATTCAAAAAACATTTTGTTGAATATACTCAAAAATATCTAAATTCTCAAAAAGTTAAGAAAAACTTTTTTTTAAAACAAATCGAAAAAATTTCAAACTTCTAAAAAAAAAGTCAATATTTTGAAAAAAATTCTAAATTAACAAAAAAAATCGAAAAAAAAAATCAAATGTATTATAAACATGCACATAAGCTGTTTGTAAAATACACTCGTCGCCCGATTTAAAAAGCACTTATAAGTTAACAGTATGTATTTATAATAAATAATCTATTTGAAATTGTTCAAAACAATTATTGATTATTTTCATTTCTCGAATGCTTAATTACGGTACAGAAAGTTCCAGCAATTTGCCTTAAAGCACGATGCCATGCGCTCCACTAGTTCTTTACTGAATTTTGATTAAGACTTTCTTAAACTTATGGAAGAGCTTAAATTTAAGTTTAATAAAAAAAAAACTTAAATTTAATAAATCAATATGCTCCAAGAGCATTTATGCTATATGTGACATGCATTGCATCGGGTAAACGATCCTTATAATTTGTGTTAGCTATCCCTATCACTTATATATCACTTCCACATTCACATTCAGTTAGTTAACTTTTATAGCAGAATAGTATAATGCTTAGTAAAATTAATGAAGTTCCTATATTTTTCAGACTTGCGCATTTCGCAGAAGCAGCTCAGTGAAAATAAATGCTCAACCAGCTAAAAATGAAAAGGGTGGACAGGTGAAAGGAATATCTCGAGAACCAGAAATATACCAAAACGAATCTGATGATATAACACCATCAGTAAGTAATGACAGAGGTTTCATAGACAAAATAACACCAAAAATATTACAAGTCACAATTATATACATATATAAAATTGAATATAGAATTCTGCGAAAATATATTATTTAGCTGAGTTTATAATAACCTGAATGTTAATTAATATTATGTACCATAGGACATGACCGAAGATAGCGAAGATGTATCAACTGATGATGATCTTGGATATGGACATCAAAGAAAATGATGGCATTTTAAAAACATTAATATTGTACGTTTATAATGAAGACTTCTTAATGTTATATATAATTAAATGTTAAATATAATTATTATGTTATTCAAAAAGTTCTAACCTGTAGGTTCTGATAATTCAATAATTTCAACTTCCTGCAAATCATTGAAGTGTGTTCCTGCTCTTATAGAAATGCGACTAGGCGTGTAGCTCTCATCCAGCTTATAATCAGTGTATATGTATATGTGACAAACTGAAATAAAAAGAATAACATAACTAATTTAATAAAAATGGTTTATATATTTAACTTAATTTCATATTCATTTTTTGTTGTCATATATGGGGTTTATTTTGATTTTATGACTTTAATATATTGGAATTTTGTAATTTAAATATGTTGTAGCAATAATTACTATAATTAGTGATGTTTGCACAGCCTTATTTTCATTGTTAGATAATTACCTAAAGTCTTCTTTAAAAACTGTATATTAACAAGATGTGGTAATTGTCCATCAGACTGCCAATATGTGTCAATACAATCATCTCTTATTTGATCAACGCCAAAACCTAAACGTATAGTAAAATAAAATAATTTATGACACTATATACAAACATAATTATTGTAAAATAGTATCATTTTACCAGGTTTACAAGAAGATAAGCTCCAAATTGCTTTATTTCCAACTTCACGAACGGTTCCTGTCCTCTCTACCTTCGCAGGATCTGTTTCAGGTTCTTTTTGAGTAGACATCACTGACTTCAGTCTAAAATAGATATAAAGAAAATTTCTTTCTATAAAGTCAGTTTTTATTTCTACACCTGCTATAAATACTTTTAATAATTGATAGTCAAATTTATATTAATTTGATATGATATAAATATAGCTGTATAGCCCAATGCTCCATTTAAGACTCAACCACAAGACCTAGAATAGTTTTCTATCTTAATCTTATAAGATCAATATTATTGCAGTTTTTTTTTTTTTGATTTATTGTTTATTATATAAGTATTATTATTGCTTTAATATGTTGCATTCCAACTGAAAATAAAAAAATTTACTGGCTTATTGGGAGGAAATCCGAAACTTCTCTAGTACAAAGTACTTCTGTGCAAAGGTATAATAGTGCCCATTTGGACTTATGGAATCAAACTATGGAGTCGCAATCAAACACAAACATTATTCAAAGATGCCAGAACAAAATTCTAAGTATCTTAACTAATGAGCCATGGTATATTTCAAACTTTTGCCTACATAAGGATTTAAAAATCTCTACATCCAAGGAAATGATCAAAATTACAAGTTTATCTTTCAACAATAAATTCATCCAGCATACAAATCCTACTATTCAAACGATTCATAGACCGTTAAGCAAGAAATGACCTTCTAACCTATCTTACTTAATCCAATGTCTGCACAATCCAGATCCAATTAACGCACATAATTTAAAAGCACATAACTTTCAAACCGCATGGAAAATATTTTCTTCGGATTTTTGAATGAGTTATTCTTGAATAGCTGATTGTATCACTAACTAATAAGATAGTTTGTAATTTAAATTAGGAAATAAAAAAAAAAATTATAACTGTTACACTTCTACTAAAATTTATCTCTAGTAGTCTCTTCAAGGTTGACATACCCCAAAAGTTTTAAAATCACCTTTTAACAAGTCTATAATTTAGGAAACTCCTAGAAACTAACCTTTACGGTCACTATTTTGTAGATTAAATGCAGGGGATATATTTTCTTCTAATTTATTATTAAGACATGATTCCATATTCGGTAAATACCACTTTGATTAAATACTAAATAATTTATAAATAAACGAAATGGATAATTAACTAATTCTTAAGCATAAGCATACCTTAAAATTGTATATTACTTTCATAGATTAGAATGATTTACTCACTTGGGCCTAGATGTTTTAATAATATTACAAATGGCTTGATACTATCAGTTCTAAATTAGATAAATCTTAATAATATTATTCTTTAAACTATAAAATAAAAATACGATGCGTTCGTTAAAATTAACTGTACAACTTTGACAGCCTAGACGGCCTAGACATAGACGTTTCATTCTCGCGGTATTTTGGTTCAAAGAATTAATTATTGCTACGGGCGCTACATTGCTATGGCGCTTCAATAGCATACCACTCGGCATTCAAATTAAAGCGCCAAAATTTGAAATACAAATATTTGTACTTTAAAAATAATGTATTATTAATATTATTGTCAGGACTCTATAAATTGAAACACCACGATGCAGTAACCTTTATAACTTTATTCAAATATATCTCACCAGTCCGTCTCTACGCTTACACTCTGTGACTCACTCTGTTCGACTTCCTCCTCGTCTACATTCACACTGTTCGTACTGTCACTCATACCAACTGCACAAACACGCTTAAGTCTTACCAACATCAACATTACCAACCGCACGGGACTGTCATGGTCCGCGCCATATTCAAACATGCATTCAAACATTCACACGATATATTTCGCTAACAATATAAAAAAATTATGGTCTTAAAAATAGTTTATTAGAATTTAAACTTTGAATTATAATAAAAATATATTAAGTAATAACAAAAGTTAGACAATAATAATGTTTTTTTTGAATCAATCGCGCCTTACACTACATTACGTATTCTTGCATACTGCTATTACATACATTGTAAATGTATTACATACATTCTACACTTTCTATTATATACACTACACTTCTCCTGCATTTAAGAGTCATACTCTTTATTTAAACAACAATTAAAACTTTATAAACAATTATACACAACACTCGTTACCAGAACAGTGGCAAAACTAACAAAAGAATTAACAACCTGTCACTTGGTATTGGCGCACTAGCGCCAAATTCTCACCTAGATGTCGATTACACGAAACGTTTGTGAACGACGATTTTGCACTGTTGACAGATAACAGACATAACCTAAAAAATGCATTCAAATGCATCCCAAGAAATAATAAATAAAATTATAAATTCACTTTACATTGATTTTAAAGACTTAATATAAATAAAACAACAATGGCTCACAAAATTAATAAGAGTTCCTTCCGTACAGCATTTCGAATTGTAAATAAAGATATTATAAATTGGTTTCCCGGTCATATGGGCTTGGGTTTGAAACAAATGCAACAAAAATTAAAATTGGTAGATCTAGTCATTGAAGTGCACGACTCCCGAATACCGTTATCCGGTAGAAATCCAAATTTTAAACACACAATCAGCGCAATCAAACCTCACATTTTAATATTAAATAAAAAAGACTTAACAGACAATTCCTACAATTCACAGGTAATAAAAAGACTCAGAGAAGAAGAGCAAATCAAACATGTTTTATATACAAATTGCAAAGATCAGACATGTTCTGGAATAAAACGAATCATGCCTCTTGCTAAGGAATTAATTACTAACTCAGATAGATTTAATCGAGCCGATAATAAAGAATTTTGTATAATGGTTATTGGTGTTCCTAATGTAGGCAAATCATCAATTATTAATGTTTTAAGGAATCGTCACTTGAAAAAAAAAGGTGCATCACACGTTGGAGCAGTTGCTGGAATAACAAGAAGTGTTCTTAATAGAATTAAAATAGCTGAAGATCCTCCGATTTATTTATTAGATACACCTGGAATTCTTATGCCTAATATTAAAGATACTGAAACAGGAATGAAATTGGCATTATGTTCTTGCTTGCAAGATCATCAAGTAGGGCCAATAAATATTGCAGATTATTTGCTATTCTGGATGAATCAAAATGAAAATTATTCATATGTGGATTTACTCGGTTTACAAGACCCTAGTGATGATATCGCCAAAGTCCTGTTAACTGGAGCAAATTTTTTAGAAAAAACTATTGTTAAAAAGCGATATGATAATTATTTGATGAGAATACCTCATCTGGAAGCGGCTGCAATCCATATGATAAAGGCTTTTAGAACTGGATCATTAGGAAAAGTTTTTTTAGACAATAATTTTTTTCCAAAAAAAGAATCAAACAAAATTGAAACACAAGTTTAGTTAAATTATATTATATGGTTGCTGTATACTGTTTATTTTTGGCTGCAGTATAAGAAAATTAAATATTACATACATTTAATTTTTTTATACATGCTTTATGAAAACAAATGAAGGCTTTGCGTCCTGTGTACAAAAATTGCAAATCATAAAATCTTAAAACCTAAAAATATATGTAAATAAAATAAATATATAATATCAGCTGAAATGTATTTTGTTAATAAGATTCAATCTTGTGATAATTTTGTTATAAATAAATATTTACAATACTTTACATTTGTTACTTTATTTTTATGGGCATCTTGCTTTGATTTATGTTTAATATCTACCATCATTTCTTTAACTTAAAAAGTAATCGATCTCTTGTCTCTGCCGCATGGATCAAAAGGCTTTGGTGGTTGTGGTGGTTGGATAGACCAAAAACGTCTGATTGCTCTCGAAATTCCAATGTCGTTCATGTTGAAGCACAAAAGACCAGCTAGTGTCAATACTGACAAAGCAATTAAAGCAATATGTGCAACTTTAGGAATTGTGTTTCCAAAAAGAATTGGCCTCACATAGTCGGTAACACAAGCTTCAAGTCCCCTATTGAGCACCATTAAAGTTTAAAAAATTGTAATACAATTCTAGTTGATATGTGAGTTAAAAGATAATTGTTGAGAAATGATCAATAAATTAATACCTATCTCTATTAATTCTTACCAATGACTGTGTGCTACTAAAGCAACTGCCATCAATGAATCTAACCAGGGGTTTGGAAACATTAATGCCAAAGGTATTACTGCAAGCAGAGCCCCAGATAAAATTCGTTCAGCTTTCCATATCGGTGTATGATCAGCGCAAGCTGCAGCTTTCACCGGGCGAGTGAGAAAAATGTTGCGTGCAATAGGTTTTTGTAGCTAAAATTTATCACATTATAATTAAATCATGAATAATAATAAAATATTATTGAATTGTTGGAATGGAGCAACAAACAATTATTATACTGTGCATACATTAAACAAAACACTATAATGAACCAGTTATAAGATAAAGTTTATACTGAACAATAAAATTGTTATTATATTAAAAAGTGGCAAATTATGTTCCAAATCACAACTTTTAACGATTTAGTTAAAGGCCCTATGAGCTGTTGTAGTGAATTATTTAACTGGGTCGCTTATTCAGGGCTTATTACAATTTCTGTAAACCTGATAATCTTTTTATGATGCCAATGCCCGATAAGATGCATCACTTGGAAACATATTACTATCTGTATTTCCAAGTGAAAACCGATATCATCAGGCTCTCCAAGAGAAGTATCTGACTTTGCAGATATTATGCTCATACGATTGTTATTATTATTTGATATGAAAAAGGGCTTTTCTTATACTTACACATTGTGCTTCCTTCAACAGTACAGAACGTGTTGCAGATATGACAGGTCCAAGTTTTATGCCCCTTAAAGCGCAGGCTGCAATAATTTATTATATAAAATTATTTGACAGTTAAATTTACATAACATAATATGTCACATATCAATATTTTATAATCTAATTTGGTACCTTGTGATGCAATTCTACTATTAGCAGATCTCAAAAGTAAAGACATCGCCATCATAAAAGATTTATTAAATTTATATAAAAAAATATACACTAAAATTCAATAATTATTTTGTTTTATATAGGGGGACAGACTGTACGTGTGTAGATGACTGCGATCTGTCACCATCTGTCATGCCATAAGCCATAGATTTATAGGTTAGATTAGGCACCACTTACGCAATAACTAGTTTTAACTTTACCATGTTGGCAACATGTTAACCAACATTTTTAGTTTAACTTAGCTTTTAGTTTAAATCTTAATTTTAAAGTATAATAATTATTAATATGCTATAACATATTCAATTAAATATTAACTTTCCGTAGGGTAAGTTATAGTAATAGGCCAAAAATCGAAAATACATTTTTTTGCATAGCTTCACGTTTCAGACGTTTCTGAACATTTTGGTATACCTCAGAAAAAATTGATGTGTGTATGTGTATGTATGCATCGATAAATATTTTTTTTTGTATATCGAAGGAAATGCTTTTATGCATCCCATCAGACTGGTCTTTTGTCTGGGTTGGACTCAATACCGGCCTGGTATAATACCGACTAAAACCTCCGCTTTTCCTTGCCTCTGGTCCCCACAGCAACCACCGTTAGGCATTACTTCGTGGGGGGAGGATCTAGAATATTATCATTCTTAACTTGATTTTATACTAAGCTTTTAATTGTGCGAAGTCGCATTTGCCCTCTCTCTTTCCATAGAACGGGTATGTATGTGTGTGTGTATGTGTGGAGACAATTTTTCGTCGACCATTTAAAAAAAGTTAAAAAAAACATTCAATTCCTATTGATGAGGAGACGTGCTGATTACTTTTTGACGAAGACAGGTCCAGCGGCTTCGGAGATAAGGAGCATAAAGTGTTAAAATGCCAGTTTTTAAGAGAACGCATCAACCGATTTGAATGATCCAAAAAACATTCTACTCTATTTCTAATGATGGGGAGAAGTGGTGATTGCAGTTTTTGAGAGAACTAAGCATCCAATTTGAATGATTCCAAAAAGTTTCTGTGTTGTGTTGAGAAAACAATTGTTTTTTGTATATCAAAAATAATACACTTATATTTTTTTAAATAAATAATTTTTACTTTGTAATTCAGTTTATGTAATTTTTAGAAATATTAGATAATATTACAGTATTATTTATAATAATCTATTCGAAAACATTTAAAATTTCGTTACGGTACGGAAAGTTCCAGCAATTTGCCTTAAGTCATATATTATGTAATAAAGATGGATAGTTTCTGTAACTATTCCTCTACCAAATCAAGTAAAAAGAATTCTACACCTGTTGTTCAATATTTCACAATTAATTATTATCTAGAGTACAGTGTTGCAACCTACCCCGTGTTTGGGGTTAGAATTTC